CACGTGTTCGGCTGTTATGGCTGCCAAAAGGGAAGCTGGTTCCTTCAGACAGGAAGGCCCAGAGTGATCTGATACAGTGCCCACTTTTAGGCCAACCGGGAAGAAAAGAGAGGAGTGGGAGGAAATCCAGAATATGAGATGCCAACCGCCAGAAGAGGTGACTCAAGGAGGAGGGAGAACCAGAGTGCATGGCATGGCGAGGGAGCCCACCGGGATGGTGGCTGGCACACTGGGGTGGTGATTGGGAGTGTATCTGTGATGGGAGTGAGAATGATAACTTCAAGTTTCAGGGGCTTCATGAGCTCAAACCACATTCAAGTGGGTTGTGTAGTGGGAAAACGGTGGAGCAATGCAGACATCCACTGCAGACTGTTCTGGGAGGAAGCTGGTATGTGCAGAGCACGGTAAGGGCAGCACCTGGAAAGGGTCTCGTGTTTAAGAATAGTCTTTAGTTTTTCTTGGGAGGGATGCCTGGTATGTTTCAGTGATGATGGGAATGAGCCAGGAGAGAGGGAAAAGCAGAATATGCAGGGGAGAGAAGGACTCCCCAAATGTTAGGTAGTGAGAAGGCCAAAGAGAATGGGGTATAGGAGCCTTGGAGAAGAGTGGGCCACTTCTCCCATCAGAAGAGGTGAGGGCCTGTGGGAAAGTCAAGGTAAATGCTCCCTGATGGCACTTGTGTTCTCAGCTACGCAGAAAACCTGGAGCAGAGATAGGCTGAAGGTTTACAGAAAGAATCTGAAATTGTTCCTATAGAGAGTATGCAGCTGATGGAGGAAATAGAAGCTTGATAGGCTGTACTGTGTGAAAGCTTCAGGCTTTAATGTTGATCGGCAATATCTCTGATTTCTTTCACTTGTTGGGTGCATCTCCCATAGGTCAGGTGTAGGGGAAGCTGTAGCCACGCCTTCTTAGGGGCTGGCTACAGGAGTACCTGAGGGTTTGTGAGGGCGTGGTCAGAGTGAGTAGGGGGACTGCGTTTTCGTCCTCGGTGTCTCTTGGCTTCTTGCTGTACAGACGACCACCGGCTGGCTGGTTCGCTCTGTAAGTAAGGCTTTTCCCTATTAAATACCCTTATATTTCTACCTGACTCCGTATTGGTAATTTCCTACTATAGTCAGGTCTAGCACCCTGCTCCGGGAGTGGTGTGTTTTGTTTTGGACTGCTGGGTCCTCCTTGGTATAGGAGCTGCTGAGATCCTTATCAGACTCCTGTGTCTTTTGGGCATGGCCCTGGCACCACTTCCCGGATGATGAGCTTTGGGAAAGTGGATTTTGACATTTTTGTTTGCCTCACCCATGGGGAATGCATAAGGAACCTTTCTGGTTGCAGCCAACAAGTGGGTAAACAGACAAAAAAGGGGCTTATAGTTGCCACCATCTTGGCCATATGGACTGACATGGGGGTCGCCATCTTGGTCATGGGACCTACCTGTAGGCACACCCACTCCAACAGCCTTTGCCAGTAAACCTGGCTGCTGGACTTTTGCTTTCTGTCAGATTCTTTTTTGCTTTTTATTTTTTTTGTCTGTGATTTCTTCTTTCACTGGCTCTGTTGCTCATGGCTTGTTTACAGAATACTGTGTCTTTCCAGGGCCCTCTGTTTAAGTCTACTCT